AACTCAGAATAACTCAGAACACGCATACATATCGTGTCTGTAGGCGTGTGAGAATGCTATTAAACTAATCTATATATAATGATAACGATTAGATCACTATGAGTTCATTAATACGATTCTTGGGCGTACTATCTATACTATTTTTAGTTTTATTACTTGCATAAAAAAATCAACTTGTTTGCTCTATCAAAATCACCTATTTTAGTTTCATTCAATGACTTTCATTACTTAATTTAGAACATTCATATGCTGATTATACACATCAAGATTAGCGTTACCTCAACCCAGAATGTAGGCATCACTTATTCGTTTATTAAATCTCCAATCAATTTTACAATTTTACATGCATATTTTTCAAAGTACACCAAATTAACCAAATTACTTCAAATTATTCCAAATTACTCCAAATTATTTTAGCATTCATTCATTCCGTAAAAATTGTACGATTATATACTTAGGTATGTACGTACGTAATTTTATAATTATTTATTTATCAGTTATTTATTTATCAGTTATTTATTCATACATTTCTTACTTACATTCATACATTCATACAGTACATCATTCATACTACGTACTATATTCCCCCTTATTTTCTTTGTTCTTTTTCTTTCTCGATATAATTTAATTTATAATAATGGTATTATAATGGTAACTTGGTAACTTTGGCGTTTGAATATATCAAGTACAAATCTCCAATAAGCTTTACCGTTTATTCCTTTTATGGAATAAATGCGTATCCTTTATTGGTTGAGGGTCACCTTTATTGGTTGAGTTTCGTAATGACGTGAAAATCCTGCATCCCGTGAAGATATATTTGACGCTTATCCCTCTTTCTGCGTCTTTCTGCGTTTCTGTATACTTGAAACTTTTTTTTGGATATATGTAGGGCACGCCAGTGGCGGCAGATCAAGTTCTTAAGCCAGGGCTTTTTTTGCATATTGCGTATGGTTATTATGTCATCATATACTATATTATATACTATAGTATTATGTTACATTTCAATCATTTAATTGATGCATGTCGCTATCTTTAGTGTTTATGAATGTAATCGAAAGATATCGACATCAAAATTTGGAAAAAAAAAAGCAGGTGCAATTTTTTATGTCATGTGGTCTTTCGTCCATTGTTCTTTTAGCATTGATAACATTTATAACATTTGATGACATAAGTAAGCATTATCGGGAATAAGCCTTTTTTTTTTTAATTGAAAAGTAAAATATCCGGTCGGCTTGTTCGGTCTGTTTTGGGCAAATCATATTGTATATAATTGCTGTTTTAAGAAAGTCTAGAATTGACACCATTTTGACATCTGCTTATCTTATTCGTCTTTGTTAATCAAATATTTTTACTGTAATAGTGAAATAGATAATCTTTGGTTAGATCATTAAATGTCATTAAAATGTCATTAAATGATTGAATGCTTGAATATGCTGGAATATGCCTGACTGTTGAATGCAAAGAAAGTAAGGAAAAGATCCTTTGAGTAATACAATGTTTTTTGTTAGATTCGGGTTAGTTTTTTTTTTTAGTGTTGTTCATTCCCGGTAGAGTGGCGTACACTATCCCCCAATAAATGGTAAAAATGCAACAAATGATAGAAATGCAAATAATAGATAGAAATGCAAATGATAAAAATGCAAATATAGATAGAAATGCAAATGATAAAAATGCAAATATAGATAGAAATGCAAATGATAAAAATGCAAATATAGATAGAAATGCAAATGATAGAAATGCAGCAAATGATAGAAATGCAGCAAAATGATAGAAATGCAACAAAATGATAGAAATGAAAATGATAGAAATGGCGGAATGACTAACGCCAAATATTTCACAATATTCCACGTGAGAGAAAAATTTTTGTTTGTTTAATAACGTGATATCAAATAAATATTAATAGTATCAATCATGTATGTATGCCAATAATTTAACGTTAAATGAATAAAATGACTACGTATATATTCGCTTTGAACATCATAATGGACATAATAATGGACATAATAATGAACATAATAAGGAACATAATAATGAACATAATAAGGAACATAATAATGAACATAATAATGAACATAATAATGAACATAATAATGTCATGTGAAATTAGTACGACATCCACATCTACAATATCCGTTACTTATATCCGTTACTTAACTACGTATTACGTATTGAATACGTACAAAATTTTTATTAACAGTTTATTGTTGAAATAATTGTTAGAATAATTGTTAGAATAATTGTTAGAATAATTGTTAGAATAATTGTTAGAATAATTGTTAGAATAA